CTCTTTCTTTTTTTCTCTTCTCTTCTTTTCCCTCCAGCTCAAATGTATTCTTTTTCTTGAGCTCTTTCTCTTTTTCTTTTCGGGATGAATATATCGTTGTAAGTTTTCCTTTTCTATCCTCTTGATTTTCTTCTTGAGAGATCTTCTATTTATAGGCTTCATGGATATTTGTCCATTAGACTGAGCTTGCAGCCTTGATACTCGTGCTTTCTCTTTCTTCTTTCACATCAACCTTTCGGTAAGTCAACTTGTCAGAGCCGAATTGTTTTTTCAGTCCTTTGCTTGATGTAGCTTGTACGATCTTTTTAGACTTTGCTTCAAATGAAGAACATTATGTGAATATCTCCTTTGTCTCTAACATCCACTTTTTGATATTTGATCTATAGCACTATGGATGCATGTATAATAGCTTATCTGTAAAATTAAAGTAAATTGTGCATGCAGGAGATGCGTCTTTTCTTATGACTTTTGTTGTTTTTGAACGTTGAGCATTTAATTTCATTAAATGCTTGCTCAAAACAACAAAGTGCTTTTTGATTTTCTACCATTAGGTAGCACTTTACAATTAATTTTTTTTCTAAGGATACCAAGCGTAGATATATACTTCATCATAAGATTAGGTACTTGTTAAGCTCATGGTATCGTTTAATCAAGTAAACAATTCTTTATCTTTTGTCTCTTTTTAGACAGATAACGTATAGCTTGGTTAAGCTTTCTTTTATATTTTAATAATTATGTCTTTTAACATGTTTTGTCAGAGACATTGTCTTGACTTATTTTGTTTTCGAGAGAAACTGAATTCCTATTCCAGGTAGGTTTAAACCCTCGGATCGTCCTCATATTTGTTGGGGAATCTCAAGTGGGTCATCCTTTTTTCAACTGTCTCAATTCGGTCCATATACTTGTAAAATTGAGCCAATTAAGCCATGTCCGTTAAGTTTTCATTGACAGCGTTAAACTGTGATGACGTGATGCACACTTAAAATGCTGATGTAGCAGTGTTATATTACGTGGAATTGTTTTAGGTGAACAGTTTATGACATGGCTCAAAATTTAAATGGAAATGTTAGGGATTCAGAGTCTTCATCATCCTCCACCGTCTTCATCTTTCCTTTTGAGCATTTCAACATAAACTCCCTGTCCAAACCTGAAAAAACGCATAATCATCAAATCAAAGATGAAATAATTTATACATACTTGGGAATGAACTTGGGAATGGTTTCGTTGAGTTGGTTAGAGCTAAGATCCATGTGAAGTAGGCTGGGGAGGGCCGAAATGGAATCGGGGATGGAGCCAGAGAAGGAGTTGGAAGCGAGGGAGAGGTTTGTGAGGGAAATTAGGCCTCCGATGGAGGAAGGGATTTTGACGGCGAGGGTGTTGGAGGAGAGGTTGAGAAGTTAGAGGAAGTCAAGCATGGTGGTGGAGGGGGGATGTTGCCTTTGAGGCGGTTGTTGAAGAAATCTATGAAAGTGAGGTTGGAGTGGAATTGGCCGGGGAGGGAGGTTCCAAGGCTTCCAGTACTCTCTCCACATTACATTATTACCTTCTTAATTAGCCCTACCACCCCATGACAACTGTAGGATATTCAAGTCCTTCTTATCAATCAAATTTGCTTGTTTAACATCCCTTTCATTGGGGACGTTTTCAAAGCCTTTGATTCTTAGTGTGCCTCCTAACTTTAAGCTATGCAACTCTCTTAACCCACACCTTGGTTTTGAACCCGCAACAAAAATGCCTAGTGTTCTTAGATGCCTCAACTTGCTAATATTGGGTGGTGTTTCTACACATTCATCAATCATAACATGTCTTAAATCCTGTAATTGTGTCAAGGTTTTGGGCATCTCAAGAAAGGGGCAAGATTTCGGTTTCAATATTTGCAATTTCGGCATCTGACCAATTAAATGATCCAAGCTTCCTTAGAAACTAAAATGCAAACTCAAATATCTCAAATGTACTAAATCCTTGAATGAGGGAAAATAGAGGAATAGATCTTAAGCATAATGCTCGGAGATAATGATTTGATGGCACTGCACCACCAAAAACAAGAAAAGTACGTAGAGATTCAACTTTCTTGAAAGTAGACATCAACCATCGCTTGAAAGCAGTCCAATCAAAAGAGATGCCAGGATTAAACAAGCTTGAATAGGGAACTCTAGCTGACAATAGAGTATTACTTGAAGCTTCAATAACCACACATTCCTCACCCATAATAAATTGGGAAAGATCATGAAATAGATCATGCATGTTAAAAGTTGTGATCATACCAAATTCATCATACTTTGCTTCTTGAAAAAATGATCTATTGTATAACTTTTTCCACACTTTATTTTCAACCTCCTCCACTTCTACATTTCCTTCACATATAATAAATCTATTAGCCATCCAGAGATGTATAAGTTCTTCCTTGTCTATTTCAAAATCTTTGGGGAAGATGTATAGTTTCCGACCTCCAGTCTCTCACGAGCATCGCCGGATCAAACCGAATTGTCCTCCGAGACAGCCGCTGAAGATGTTGTTGAAGGTAGCCATGCCGAGAAGCCTCTCGCCTGTGCAGGTGTTGATGACGCCGGAATCCACCGTCGGCAACCTCATAAAGATGGTGCTGCCACAATACGTGAAGGAAAGTCACCGCCCTATCTTACCGGCCAACACAACCTTCGATTTCGACCTCCATTCATTATTCACGTTTAGTCTAGAAAGTAGGTATCAACAATCTCAAACAGAAAAAATTGCTTGCAATTTTCAAAATAATTTGATGTTTCATTTACGCTAATTGTTGAAATGATTTTTTAATGCTAAATCAGCTTTGAAAGTTTGTATAAACTATTTCATCTTTGATTTCATGATTATGCGTTTTTTCAGGTTTGGATAGGGAGTTTTTGTTAAAATGCTCAAAAGGAAAGATGAAGACGGTGAGGATGATGAAGACTCTGAATCCCTAACATTTCCAATTAAATTTTGAGCCATGTTATAAATTGTTCACCTAAAAAAGTCCATGTAATATAACACTGTTACATTAGCATTTTAAGTGTGCACCACGTCATCACAGTTTAACGCCATCTGTGAAAACTTAACGGATAGGGCTTAATTGGCTCAATTTTACAAGTATATGAACCGAATTGAGATAGTTGAAAAAACGATGACCCACTTGAGATTCTCCAACAAATATGAGGACGATCCGAGGGTTTAAACCTTCCAGGTATTATAAACATTGAGCATTATAAAAAGCGTTAAACGTTATAGAGCTCCTAACAAAGCACCTAACCGTAGTGCTATCAAAATGGGTTAGAACTCGCGAGCCAACCTGGCCTACCACGGGTTTAGGCCTAGTTGGGTTGAAAAAAAAATTTGAAATTTTGATATGGGCCAATTTTGAGACCGACCCACTAAGAAACCGGTTCACCCGGGTTGAACCCGTGATGAGCCGGGTTGGCTCGTCAACCGACCTAACTTTGTTTTTTGTGCTTGCTTTTGGATTATATTTGAAGTTTAAGATGATTTTGGATTGTATTATATTTCTTTTATTTTGAATTGTCTTTGGAATTTAACATGATTTTAGATTGAAATTTATTTAGATTTGAATTAGAAAAAAATTGTTAATTTTTTTTGGAATTGAAAATAAAACTTATAATTAAGTAAGTTAGTGAGCCAACCCGCTAAACCCACCAAGTCGTGGTGAGTAAGCCGGGTTCAAATTTTTTCGGCTTGCTAATGAGTGAGTCAGGTTGGGTTTACTCACTAAATGACCAATCTGTGGTGTGTTGGGTTGGGTTAGGCCGGGTGGCCCGTTTTGACAACACTACCTAATTTTCGTAGCATTTGAACAAAAAGACAAAGTATCTAAACATAAGTAAAAATAAGCGTCTTTACAAGTTACTCAAAACAGGCTGCCATTAAATGATTATACCAAGCATCAAGCCTAAGCACTTAAGTCGTCTAATGCATCAAATTCCTAAATCGTCTAATGGTTTGAATGCATGTATGTCCAAGTACTTTTTGTTTGTTGTGTTGTACTCTCTCTTTCTATGCATTATCAACTTATTCAAAAGCCTACTCAAAATCAGAAGAACATTTAGAGGATATTCAAAGAAAGCTTCATACATACCTTTTGCATGTCTCATTTGTACACAACACCGTTGCTCTACAAGGAAGCAACACAACTTCTGACTCATCATAAATGCTACATACCTAGAAGAAAGTCAAAACTCTAACTCTCGAAGAAGGCTATATAAAGAAGAATAACATAGAGAAAAAGAAGAAGAATTGCGATCATTGAATCATTACGGTTCTAAGTTTAGAACGTCTAAAGCCTTCATTCCAGGAGAAAGAACTTTTACAAACTTTTAGAAGTTTATTGTATTATTCATATATCCTCTCTAACACTTTGTTCACTTGAATGGATTTGGAGATAATTTTGTTGTTGTTTATTTGAGAGAATTTGGAAGTGAGAGTGGATATGGAAGTAATTTTTTTTTAATTTGTCACATCAATCAAATCCTACGCTAATTCTCACAAACTTTACTTCAAAATCCACTCTCACTTACCTCCAAATCCACCAAATAAACAACAAAAAATTTACCTTCAAATTCTTTCAAATCCATTCAATCACTTTCCCCCAAATTCATTCAAGTGAACAAAGCCTAAGAGAGATAAACATTGTAAGAAACCAAAAAACTTGTTGTGTTATATTAAAAGTAAATTCAAACACTTGTATTATTTAACTGAGTGGAGTTAAACGTTTTAAACAATTTATCTAATATGGAAAGCTATCCAAAAATTAGAACTAAGTCGACCCATACTAAAAAAAACTATGCGGGATAATTGTCAAAAATAGGCAGGAATTTGGAAACAATACTTAATCAACATAAAAAGAATTTTAATATAGATTTAATTAAAAAGCTTGAAATTTAACTAGACTTATGAATAATTATGATTTTACATTTTTGTATAATTTTGACCTTCTTACTTGTTTTAAAATAAATAGAATACAAAAAAAAAAAACTGAGAAAGGGTGGTAAGGTATTGTAGCAATTGAGTGGTGATTTCAACAATAGAGAGCAGAAGCAGCTATTCAATTCTCAACAACCGGAAGCACTCAGCACACAACAGATAAATCCACACATCAAATCGCAAATCCTAATTAATTTCATTTCCCCCTTTTCTCCCTCCAAGCAACGGTCATTCGTAGTTGGAATTGGCGACCAAAATGCAGGGGTGGTTCTCGGCACCGAGCGGTGGTGAGGAGGAGGCGAAGCCCTCCTCGTCGTTGCTTGCCGATTGGAACTCCTATGCCTCTAATCAATCCTCCCAGGACAGCTCCAGTTTGGGTCTTTCCTTCGATCTCGAATCCGCCGTCAGGTCGGCCAATGACACCGTTTCCGGCACCTTCAGCGTGTAAGGAACCCCACTTCAATATCTTACCACGCCTCTTGTTTTGCTTTATCTGTTTGTATGCAAACGCAAATATGGTTTTAATTTTGTGTGTTGTGAGAATCGTGTAACAGCTTAGTGTTTGTAAGTGAAATTCCAGATCCGTATCTGAGAAGCTTGGGGTGGGAAATATTTGTCCCCAGTAATACAAAATCATGTTAACCTAAAACAATCACAATTATCGGTCGAATTAGGCTCAGTTTGGATAAACTTGTCTTTGGAAGCACTAGTAACTTATAGAGAAGAGATTAAGAAAGCATAACCGTTTGGGAATCTAATTTTTTTAACTCACTTAGGCTCTTTTTAGATGAACTTTTCTGTTGAAGCACTTATAAGAGAAGAAAACGAGGAAGTAAAACAAGTTAGTAAAATGGATTTGGACTCTAAATTGAGTGATCCACTCTAAAGCGTAAAAGTAAGTAATTTGATTGTTGATGAGAAATCGACAGTGGATGTTATTGTACATTCATGCAAATCACGTTTGTCTTAAAGTATCAACGGCTGATTTTCTTTCTTATCTCCTCCACTCCCTAAAGCGAATTACTTGTTTTTGAGGAAGTGGATCCAATTAACTAAACTTGTCATTCGTAAGTTAAAATCAACTTGTGCTTTTAATTTTTAATGAAGCTCTTTTATACAACTTCTTGAAAAGCTGAGGACTTAGGTGCAAAAGTTGTTTTATCTTATGGAAGAAATTTGATTCATCTTACCTTTATACGTTCTTTTCTTTTTAGTGTTTTAGGGAGAAATTTATCCTAACAAAGTCTTAGTTTATAAGCATGAGAGACTTTGGTTTAGTCCTTGAAAAGAATCAATGTGACTGACATTGTGATTTCTGGGGACTAAGGTGGAATTTTTCTATTTTTAAGGATGGAGAGTGCCATGCCAGTAGCCATTGGTAAAATTCGTTTAAACCTGAAGATATTGTCAAAATAACTTTAGCTTGGATTTTGTTCCCTTTATTATTATAATTGTTGTTGTATTGTAGGTTTTGATTGGTTGTACTTCTAATTATTTTGCTTATTTAAGTATAACGTTAATTATTCAATAGATAAATCACCGGGTTTAGAAAAAAAATCATTTTTAGGATGTTGATTTAATTGGAGTCATGTACCCTGTTGATTCAGAAGGAAGTTTGACACACAACTAGATTTGTGCTAGGCTAACAGAACCCTCAGTGAGGGATAAGATAGATGTTGCTTGGTGTTATTAAGCTGCTTAAGGGCAGGACTACACCAAGATGGAAAGCCTTATTATCTTGGGATTAACTCTATTGCTTGCAAGGTTTTGGATCAAGGAAGTGCCTAAGGTGTTTCATACCATGAAAAGTGTTCATCATACACATGGATAAATCTGTTTTGGTAACCATGTCCTGTAGACTAGGTGGATAGAGTGGACTAGAGACTTGTTTCGCAGGTCCCAACTTTTACTTTGACCCAAAACTCAGAAGTGGCCATCTATGTCTTTGATGCCACTGGAAACTTGAGCCTCCCAAAACCCACCTGTTAAATATAGTAAAGAGGGAGACATTGAACTAAAATCATGTGTTTCTGAGACAATACAAATGCTATATTTATATAGAGAAAAAGAAACCAATACAATAAATATAGGAGATTTGATATCCTCTAATGGTAAAGATATGGTACAGGAATAAATAAAAATATTCCTAAATACATTTATAATCTAGATATTCTTGGTTATATATGATATGCTCATTATTTCTATAACTCTGCCCTTCAAGGTGGACCATGTAAGTCTAATGTGCCTAGTTTCTTGCAAATATAATCAATCATTTGTCCTCTTAGAAACTTGGTGAATACATTTATTAACTGTTCACTATAGTTGGCAAATCTAGTGGTGAATACATTTAGTAACTGTTTATTATAGTTGACATTTAGTAACATTTAATAACTTTTCTCTTATGAAATGAAAATTCACCTCAATATGTATGGTCCTCATAAAGCACAGGATTGGAGGCTACGTGCAATATTTCCCGATTGTCACATATAAGGTGCCTTTGGGAAGTTTCTTAAAAAGTTTAAGCTCTTTGAGGTGGTGTTTTAGCCATAGTTCACAAGTGATTAATGCCATTATCCTCTATTATGATTGTTCACTTCATCTTGTGACAACATTTTGCATCTTACTTTTCGCAACATTAAATTACCTCACCCAAGAACACATTAAAAGAAGAGATTTGACATCCTTTAATAATAAAGATATGATATGGGAATAAATAAAAATATTCCCAATAATACATATATAATCTAGATATTTCTAACTATATAGGATGTGCTCCTTATTTTCGTATTATAATGTATCAAATGTTTCATAGGTTTCTCTTCCATTAACATGTTATATAGGGCTATCCAAGATGCAGCCCTAATCCATATATACCTTGTGGATTTCTTCTTTTAGGGCCATGTCTCATTCCCAGTTTCTCCCCAATCCCCCACCCCCATTGTTGTGTTCTCATTCTAGCATGTTCATACCTAATTTCCAGCTGCCACCACAACCATTGCTCCACGATTGTCATTTGATCCCCCATGTATAGCCACCCCAACATGCCTTTATTCCCGTCACATTGGTTAGTTTCCCACTGGATCTACCTCCACTGGAATGTCATGCACTCTCAGGAGTTGGTGACTGACGTTGCAAAATCTCCTTCACATTTTGTATTCATCTTATTGTCCTCTACTTAGATCTGTGGTGCTCTCTTCCATTCGACCTCTCCTTCAATGTGTCCCTTTGAAAGGTTCCTTTTAGTTTTTTGTTTTGGTACCCATTGTGAGCTTGGGCTAGACCTGCACCATCAGATGGTTCCAAAAACATTTTGAGTCAAAGTTTCCTACTCTCAATCTATTGTGTGTACTCCTCTTCACTTAAAGTTGGTTAGGAGGGGAGCAAAGCAACTATGATACATAAGCTTTGCTTATCAAATGACGCACTGTCCAGGAATCCTATTACTGGGTTTGTCAGCTCTAATGAGAAGCTCACAGACATTCTAACTAAATCCCTAAGAGGACCTAAGATTCAGTTTATATACTCTAAGTTTGGTGCATATGATCTATATACTCCAACTTGAGGGAGAGTGTTGAAATGTAATCTTATTTTAATAACATTTTCTGTGTACCCAGCTTTAGGGTTAGGGTTTTAAGCAAGTGTATTGCGTCTTTTTGTATCCTATATATTTGCATCAATAAGAAGCACGACAGTGCAATTAAATATGCTGTGTTTCTATCCATTCTATTTGTTCAAGTGTAGATAAAGGTGATACTCTGCTAAAGTAGTCCATCAAACATTTTATACTACTTAGTGAGACTTAGACACTCCATAATATCCAAGACCCCATTAGATCAAATTTAAATGCTAATATGGTTAGTTTCCTTGTTGATATTGATAGGATATAATGTGTATGATAGTGAGGTTTCCTTTATATAGTTGGGGGGTCCTGGTATGCTAGGGACTTTTGGATAATTTTGTAGATTGAGTTTTTGCTCTTTGTGAAGGGGAAACCCTTGGAGGAGAGAGTGCTCTCCTATTTTTTTGTGTTCTTTTCAGTCTATATAATAAAGAATATTACTCTTCCTCTTTTCATTTCTGGGTTTGTAACAGATATAGAGATCCATTGTTGGATATTGTGTATTTATTGGAGTTAATTTGGTATGTTGGGAAAGTAAAAGATAATGGTGTCATGTTAAGTGTTGGAGTAGATATGAAGTGATAGCATAGCTTTGGCTACTTGTGAATTCATTTGGTTCATTGTACATACTAGATGAGTCAGTTGTTTTTATTGGTGAAAAGAAGCTCATAGTCTTAGCGTTTTGTAGTGCCACAGTGCTTGTTCCTTGACCAGTTTAGTTAGCAGCTGTTTGCTCATTCATCTTGTAGAGCTGTCAAAGTTTGCTTGCCATCGCCATTATATTTCTTCTTCACCACCTTATATCCTTTGTCATTGCTTTTAGCAGGTTTTGGTGGAGTTGATTTAAGATGAGTATTAGAGGTTAGTTAATTGAAGCCCCTATACATAAAGGTTCAAGCAATCACTTTGTACTCACTCTCATCATCAATATTATCCCATTTCACTTTATTACACTTTTGTTCAAATTCTTTCTTCTCTGTTTGAAACCATGTTTACTAACAATGAGAAAGTGAGGAGTTCGCCGCAAGAGGTAGAACATGAATGGATTGAAGACTTGGACAAATAATGGAAGGCCATCATAGCTTGGTTACTCAAAGTTAACCATTTAATGTCTATTATATCAAAATCATTTTTTTATTGATTTTTTGCAGTGTGCCATTGTTTGTTAAAGACATTTTTTGTAAGCAGTTTGAGGATCCCTTCAAAGCCAATTTTTTGAGGAAAGAGAATCAAAACATTTAAGTACTCCACTGAGCATTTCATACTTCTTGATGTTGGGCTTAGGTACTCCATGATGCCCAAATCGGAATCATACTCTGCTCTATAACACTTAGTCTGTTTGTCTAGTACCTCTGCATGAGTAGCCTTTTCCTAAATATTGACAACCCACTCTTATTTAATTTGATTTGCCTTTGTGTGTGTATACGTGTCTCCCAGTGTCCTATATTTTAGACATTGGCGTTTGAGATTTATAGTCTTGTAATGTTGGATATGATACTTAAGCATTTCATAGTATCCAAGTCCCCATCAGTATGTTGATTCCCATCAGTTGGGAATAAAGTTTGTATGTAACTGTTTTTTCCCTTTACACGCCACTTTCACGAAAGGATTTCTAACAAAATGTAGTTGTTAACATATTATTTATTTTTTAAATACTAAGGAATGTCATTCCCATTATTATGTTCCTGGGATCTTATTCCCAAAAGTAAAATTTGATAACCTGAAACACAATTCCTGTGTTTTCCTAATATCAATGTGATCATCTAAGTGTACACATGATATTTCTCTTCTCTCTCGTGTCAAAAGCTTCACTTTAAGGTCATATTAATTTATAAGGCTGAGTCTTGGTGTCAGGAACTTTTGTGAATTAATGTTACAACTGAACACAGGTTTCTGATGCAATTGTCTATGGAATAACTGGCTATTTTGTCTTCCTTATATGTCTGTGATAAGGTGGTGGAGTCGGAAATAGCTTTTGTTATACAAGAGCTCTAGGGCCTAAACTTGGCCCGTTTAGAACTTATAAGCTTAGGTTAGCCTGAAAACTTAAAAATGTACGTTGTGGTAAGACTTTTTTAATAGGTAAATAGCCTAATTCTAAATAGGTTAATGGGCCTAAATTTATACCTGATGTAGTTTGGTGAACTTTACCCTTTAAACATGTCAAGTTATAACTTCAAAAAATTTCTGTAAAAATTTAATAGCATAGTATTTATGATTTAAGGATGTCAGCGAGTTAGGCCTTACAGCTTTTTAACTAAATAGATTTTTTGTGAAAGCCTAATCTGGAAAAACTTGTGGTAAGTTAGCCTTTATGGTTTAGGCTTGACTCGGTTTAGAGTATAAAATGCCGCAGAAAGAACATATATTCTCCTAATTTGTCTTAAATGTATTTTCTACATCTTGGCAAAAGAACATGCTGGTAAGAAATTCTTTTGTAACAAATAATAATGATTTTTTTCCTGGGCTTATCAAGTAATTTTTTTCTTATTATTTAGGGTTTCTAAAGGCGTGAGAGATCTACCTGGCAATTTTCAGTCTGCTACTAGTAATGTGCCTTCTGGCAAAGCACTTGTATATTTTGGTTTGCTTCTGGCAAGTGGAGTCTTCTTTGTTTTCATAGCATTTACATTATTCCTGCCCGTCATGGTGGTTATGCCCCAAAAGTTTGCTATATGCTTTACACTTGGCTGTGGATTTATTATTGGATCATTCTTTGCTCTCAAGGGTCCAAAAAATCAGCTTACTCACATGATGTCAAGGGAGGTAACTTGCTAGAATTTCATTTCCTATTGCCTGCATTATGATAAGAAAACTTGACCTGCTGTTATGTTGCTTCAATGAATTTGTTTGGTCTCTTTGATTCCCGCTTTGCTGCTTCTTCCTTACAGTCCCTGTTATAATTGTTTTTCAGAGGCTCCCTTTCACATTGGCTTTTCTAGGCAGTATGATTGGTACCATATATGTATCAATGGTGCTTCATAGCTACATCCTCTCTGTGGTATTCTCTGTAGTGCAGGTATCACCTTCACGTATCCTTAAAAATGCTTCCTTGTAGCTTAGCCATGCCCATTCCCCAAGGCCCTTGTGTTATTGTTTTGATTTGCTATTGATCTTAAGGTATTATGCTAAAGGGTTTTTTACTTCTATTTTATTGAATTTATTATAACAATTAGGAACGCTTCTTTCAATCTAGCAAAACCGATATATATTTAGGAACTGCTATTTACACTCTTGATAGTGTGCTTTATGTGATGTGTGAGTTGCTGGTGTGTGGAGATAGGTCATCTGTACAGATTTTTTTTTTTCTTCTGTCATGTTTCTTTATAACTATATATGTCTTTACATTAAAAATGAAATCTTGACTTTACTTGCAGGTTCTCTCACTTGGCTATTATTCTATTTCATACTTTCCTGGTGGATCTGCTGGAATGAAGTTTCTAACTTCTGCTCTTACTTCTTCAATAATGAAATGTTTTGGGCGGTGACCAATTTTTTGGTTGACAGTTGAGTTGAGTTCGGACCAGTGTCTATAGAGTAGTTGACTTGTAAATTTATCTATCTGCTGAAGAGGCCTAAGAATATTACTGGATTGAAGCATCATCTAACAATTTCCTAGGGTTCAACGTATATTGCCACTGCCCTATCTGAATGGGAAAAAAAAACTGATTTGCCTCTTCGCCTCATGTTTGTGAAAAACAAAATAACATTGTCTGATTGATGAAGTTAATTCTACCTGTGTTGCTCCCTTTTACAGTTGGAATTTGAAATAATCTTTGTTTGTTTGCGAATTTCATTTTTTGACTGGGAATTGATTTCCCCCTTTCGATTTTGTCACCTTATGTCAAGAAGATGCAGACGTCACCCTTTTGGCGTGGAGGTAGATTAACCCAGTGGCATCAATACTCCACCTAAATCTTAAAAAGACTTGGATGGGTATCACTTGAACTACAAACTTTCTAACCCATTATTAACTTCAGTGGTAATGCAAAGTCTTGAATCGCAATCGGCAGTATCTGATTTTCATACTAAAAGCTAAACCTAACGAGAGAGACCAATCAAGGGCTCCAGGTATGTGTGTGTGTGTGTATATATATATATATATATGCATGTATGTATTAAAATTCAATGCCTCTGCAACTGATGCAGAGTGCCATATCAATTCATGGACTTGTCCGATATATACAAATTGTAGCTATTGGGTGAGGAACAAAAATGATGGTTGACAGAACCAGAAGGGAAGACATGAAAGGCTTTTTCTTTCTTTCAGGACCTCATAGTTTCTTCTTATCCTTCCACAAATGTAGAAAGGGTCTAAATTATCTGAGATCGATAATATTCTGAATTATACAAGTTAAAATACGTTTTCAAACTGTGGAAGTATAAAATTTCACTCATGAATAATTTAGATTTTGAATACTAGATAGAGCTGCATGGAGAATTGATGAGGGTGGGGAGGGAGAAAGAGGCAAGGTTATTTTGTGAATTGGTCCTTATTGGAGTGTGGTGGATGTTGGTTGGATTGTTTGTAGCAGCAGTGGTTAAAGTGGAATGATGAAATGGAATCTGACAGATTTGGTGAGCCTGCCAAAACAATAGGCAGAAATTTGGTTGAAACTGCAACCATCCGGCCCTTCCCCCCCTCACTCGTTTTGGTCCCCTCTCTTCTAGACATTGTTCAATTCAATACTATAAACAGACATAACCTTTCCCGGGTTTAAAGGACCAAAATATGCTCCCATTAAACTTTTGACCTGGCTTATACATCTTATAAGGGCATTGCCTTTTGCTTCAGATTATGGAATTTTTTAATAATTTGGAATCAAATTCACCATTTTTGATGAAAAAAACTATCTGCGAGTTTTGCATAAATGATACTGTAATAAGGTAAATGAAATTTACTGTTTGAGTAAAAAGGAAATGGAAACAACATCCTCTCCTCTTCAAGTCCCACACCTATAGATTTGTTTTTCCTTGAGTTAAATACATATTTAGTTCAACTAAGATTTACCGATTTGTCTTTCCTTTTGAGTTAAATATACATTTCATTTTAATATTTAAAGTAAAATTAAAATTCGTTTTAAAACTTTAAAAATGAATAAATATTTTAATTTAATTTAATTTAATTTTTTATGTGTCAATTACGTTTTAAATGACTTTTCTATTATTTACATTATTTTGATAAATATTAATTTAAATGTTAATCTAAAACATTATTTAACAAATAAAAAAATTAAAATTTTCAACTTAAAAAGATTGTATTTTTTATTTTTAAAAATTAAAAATCAAAATTTAATACAAATGAATTTCAATTTTACTCTCATAAACTAAACACATTTTTAAGTTTTTCTTTTTAATTTTCAAAGTGCAATGAAGCAAAAGACTTTGTATACCAATGTTGACTGGTGGAGTTGATTTGACAAGTTGAACGAGGTGTGGTTTTGGTGAAAAGGAAAGATTTATAAGCTCCTTTGTATTGATTACCTCTCTTTTTAATAATTTATAGCCATTGCAAAGGTTATTAGGGAGCATAAGCCCGAATTCCAGGAGATATTTGGACATAATAATGTCTGAGACTGCTATTTGACCTTTTAATACGAAGATTATGTGTGACCAAGCCATGTTTCTATTCGGCAAAAACCTTTTTAATAATGGAATTATTGATTTGCATGGGTCATCTTCATCGAGACAAAACAAAGCTTAAGTCAGTGGAGCACTTTGAAACTTTCAATAATCAAAAGGTGAACTGAAGAACAAAATCAAACTTGACACTCACAAATTAATCAAATATAAAACCATCTCATTATGAAGGAGCCAATAATTTCAATTCTTCTTAATCAATTTTCTAGACGGTGGATTTCAATTCTCAAGGCCACACATAATTAGAGAGAAATGTCTAAACTTAAAAGTATATTACTATTAGACAAGGAAAGAAAGTAGAAATGAAGGGAAATATGGTAGATGATTTGATTGATATAGTATAAAAGAAACATAATAATTTAAACACATCAAGTCTATACAACAATAATCACACGTAATAACAACTTAAATACCGTAATTTGGTTGAATAATTACAAAGAAACAAAGATAGAAATTGGTTTTATTTCCTTAGATGTGGAAATTGGTGTATTATAACTACATTTTGATGTGATTTCAAAGTGGCAACCACAGATACTATTTTGGATGCATTGATTTGAATGAGTGTTGTTGGGTACTGAAAAGTCCACGTGTGCCGTGCATATAAGGACAAAAGTTGTGATATGATATTGCAATACAGTAGAATAGCAATTGCAACAATAGAAGAGCATGTCAAAAGGAAAAATCATAAAATCTCTCACAATTAAAATAAATAATAATAATAATAGTGTTTCTCCATATCATTCATTTGATGAAATCCAAGAAGTCATGAGTAGAATTACTCTATTTAATATACACACCTTGGTCTCATAATTATCAACACACTTTTAACTTTTTTATTTTTAGAAGAAACAAGTTTGGAACATTACATTTTATGAATATTTAAACAAAAAGTTGTAATTTGTTAACATATTCCTTTAGCTAATAATGTATCTTGGGTATGAAAAGTTTCTCATTTATTTGTTCCTCTTCTCTCTCTATCTTTTTCTTTTTACCCATCAATGTCAATGTAAGTAGAAGGAGTAGTTAAAGATGATGTACAACTAATGGCCCATATTGCACACGCCCACAAATAGTACTATAGTACCTAATTCATAAAGGCTTACCGACACAACAATGTGCATGAATTTTTTAATTCATTATTGCTATCAAATAGAATGACGAAGGTAATGTGATTTTTTTATTGGACTTTTTCTGAAAAAAAGGGTTAATTTTTGGCGGATTAATCTATCATTCCACACAAAAAAAGTGGATCAGGATCATGTTTTTAATTTAAAAGTATAAACAAATCTGGTTCGTCAAGTCCAATGTAACATCCCAAAAATACAGTAATAAACTATATAATAGAATAATTACATTTAATAATATTTCAGTTCAGTCTTACACTAAGAAAACGTACGCTTAAGACCGAACGGCCTTACAGAAAGAGTTATACTAAAATTGTACAGAATAATCAAACCTAACCGACGGTTTACAAAATTTATACCGAACGGTCAATTAAAATCAAAAGGGGAGGTGATCGAACGACCACCTTGCTATACTAAACTACTAACCGAACGTCCTACTGTTTGGTCTTTACTTCTACTTCTACCAAATTTTCTTCTTCCAGCGCCTCTTCCAACAGCTCGTCTCCTTCTGCTCACATCCACACGGATGATCATTGCAATGACAAGGACGGACGTACAAAACCAGACAACACAGGAAAACACAGGGTAAGCTTATGTAATTTAATTCAAGTATACACATACATTTCTCATATTCAAACACATAAGATACATTTCAACATAAGTTTCAAGCAAGGCCTACTACTAGACTGACTGTCCGGACTGTATGAAATCTGTGTAGCTACGACGTTCGTGCACCCGGGTGATGTAGTAACTGGAATACTCTCATCAGCTGCCACCCGAGGTTAGTCCTATCTGTCCAAAGTACCCCTAAGGACTAGGACCTCCTGCCGTTCCCACACATGACCTACCCTCCTCTACGTGAGGACAAATACTCACGGAACATCAGGATGAACCGCCAGCTTAGCATTACCACATTCATACTTTACCAATTCCAATATTCACTCATGAGTTGTTCCTCCCGGAACGCTCGTTCATATTTCACAACATTTCATTCATATCATATTTTCTTCATCTTTCATTTTTCATCATCATAGTTCCATCTTTCATTCTCAATCATTTCAATTTCCTCTTTGTTCAAAAATTTATAAAGACACTAGATACCGAACGTCCAATCCTCACTCATAACGAGGACGAACACTTAGAACAAGACAGAGATGTCTCCAATTCCAGAATAGAACAAGACCGAGAGGGTTACTATCGGGTTACAAAAGAAAACGAGTACAACTGTATATCTCAAGAATGACTTGAACGAACGGTACTTACAAAGCGAGTCAATTAGATTAACTGACCCTTGAGAATTCTAACCGAACACAGAAAGAACTAGGCCAAATACTAAGGCTCGAAGCCGGAACCAAATGGACGTATACACTTCAAGACTCTCAGAGAAAAATGCTTAGAAGGATTCCCTTGAAGAAACCGAACGCTTATGAATATTTACCTTATTTGAATTTATATCAAGAAATTTGAATGCCAGTCAATGACCGAGCACGGTAGAGAAGAAAATTCTATTGAAGTTAGACGAACGCTATTTTTCATCAAGATAGATTATACAAGAAACGAGTACGAGCGCTTGGTGTAAGACCGAGTACTACTCAGTACGAGCGCTTGGTGTAAGACCGAGCACTAATAAACTTATAATAAAAGGCTTGATAAATATAATAAGATAATATTGAAGTAGTATTTACGAACAACAAAAATATACAATTACATATATATAAAAATTTAAGTTTATCACAGGATACCCAGATACAACTATGCTTGACAGAACGCTCAAACATAGTATTACCTCACAAGGACGCTCGTCCTCAACTAGGATTCTCTCCAAATGAAAGAATCTCATTCCAGCTATGTTCACCAGAAAA